TTATCAGAAGTTCTCTGAACTTCTCCGTTTCCGAGAATTTCACGGAACTTCTAACAACAGCACTGATTTTCCGACAAGTTCTCGAAAATTCCGACAAGCAAACGAAACTGCCGATAAGTTTACGAAAAATCAGAGCAGCAGAATTGCAGGGAAGTTCACAAAAATTTAAAGAAGCTCAAGGAACTTCAAAGACGTTAAAGAAATTTCAGTGGACGTTAACGAAACATCAGAGATGCTCAGGTATTTTCAGAGTAGTTCACAGAATTTCAGAGGAGTTCACGGAACTTTCGAGAAGCTAACGAAGCTTTCAAGAATCTGACGGATCTGTCGAGAAGGTCGCGAACATCCGGCAAATGCATGGAACTTTCGAGAAATGCTATTCTAGAGAACACTAACATATGGCGGCAATACACATGAGCTGACCTAGACAATCGAAATTTCAATCGCAACATAGGATCAGCCTAGCTTTTTTTAAGTCATCATCCAGACACCGACACATATTGGAAAGAGTTCCATCCGAAAACAAAACAACTGTGCATGGACAACAATTTCTGAATTCCATCAATCTAACCCAGCACGTCGTTGTTTGGCTTCTGCCATTTGGCGAAAAATTGATTAGACATACAGTTAGTACATATTTGCAATCGATCGCCAATCGATAGAGCTAGGAAGCGCGGAGTGAACACTCCACCATCTTTTGTATGGATTCTTGCCTGCGGTGCAAAAATCCAATAAAGTGGGCGTCGGCAGTCGATTGTGGATCATTGCACCCGTTCGGTTGGCATCACCCGGCAACGGACATCGCGGGATGATGACAATCACCATTGGCATTTGCACCGACAACAACGACGACGACGATGACCGCTCAACCGGATAGATGTTTGTTTACCTAAGCAGGTTGGAAATGTGCGCTACCGTGGATCCGCACTCTATCCTATTCGGTGAAGAGGGAGGACAGAAATTTGGTAGGAATCTGAAGCAGCCCTAGAAATTTCGATGACGAAATGTTTTGATTGTCAGCTTCCCTGTAACTTACTCATCACAGTAGGTACATGTGTAATCGACACAAAGTCAAGTCGCATTCGATTTCATCGATCATAGAGCTTCGAAAGCCCCAATCGAGAGCTGGCATCAATAAAAACACCCGGTAATATTTTCACTAGTTTGAGATAATTACGTCCACTCGCTGCGATTCACCCAAAACATTGCCCGCCATCACCGTCGTCGTCGTCGTCTCCAACGTACAATATTGACACCGTCTCATCAAAATTGGAGGTTACGCAAGATTTGTCTCTCAGTCATTTGCGGATTCGCCACGGCCAGGGGATTTCTCGCCACTCGTCGCCTACTCGAGCCGGAGTCTGGCTGCGATAATTGTCCGTTCGTCGTCGCTCAGGTTACGGGGAGAAAATTGCCCCATCCGGTGAGGCGCTGGCTGAGCGGAAAAAAGACTGGAAAAATAGGCGCGCAAGTGTGTGCACTTATCAACACCTCGCTGGGCTGACTCTCGGGTAGCGGGCGATGTTTGTTGCAGCCATCATCGGCATCATTATCAGCCGCAGCTCGGAGACAGCAGCGGCGGCGGCGGCGACGCTTGCTGTGATGAAAGATGAGCGACTTTCCGACGAGCTGTGTGTGATTTATGTTCGACACGATTTGCGGCCATAAATTTGGAGAGTTTTGACAATTGCAGGCAATCGGACGATGTGATTTGACACTGCGTATGTAGGTTTATTGCATGTCGTTATAAGATGGGGAAAAGTTTTTAATTGTGTAAGCTTTTGTTTTTTTTAAATTGAAAGATGAGGCTTCAAAACAAATCAGAGTAAATTCACTAGGAGTTACAGATTGGGGAAGGATTTTATTTGAATGAGTTTATTTAATAAAGGATGAATGAAACCATGACTACTTTAAACCGGTAATGGAATAGTTAATACTCAAACAAAATAGAAGGGTCTGTGCCTAGGGACACGAACGGAAGCTTGACGTAGGACCGCTAGTGGACGGAACAAATATGTTGATCCTTTAGTTCTTTTAATTGATCGATAATCTATTATACTAACTCTTTTCGTTTCTGAATTGGTGGCCGTGATTCCGTTCAAAACCAGTGACATTCGGTTCCGCGCACTGCCGGGCGCCGTATAGAAAATGCTATTTTCAGGGGAAAAGTGAAATTCGCCAGGAAATCTACGATTCTCTCAAACCTTTTTGGCGAGTCTAACCTCGATTCGTCGGCGAAAAGTAGGAAAAACGGTCGACATGTTGCTGATCAACAAGCCTGGGCAGACGCCTTTGCACTTTGTCGTGGAAAAAGAAAGAATGAATTTGGGAAGAAAACGGATCCAAGGGACACTTCGTGGTACTGGCAGGGGTTCTGCCATTCGGTGGCATTCCACACGGCCTTCGTAGAAGCAATGATAGTAGGAGTATAATCATTCGATAACGATTCGGTAGCAGGTAGGACGATCAGGAGAATAGCAAGAACAAACAGGGGAAGGTTCATAGTGTAGGGTGACCAGAGTAAGCAAGTGGCAAATCGGTCGTCGGCAAAATGCCTTCCGGTAGCTCTAGCAGAACAGAAGAGGACACTAGAATTAAAAGAATCGTGGAGAGCGGAAAAATGGCACATGGGAGGATAACCAGGCAATCTCAAAAGATGAAGGAAGACAGCACTGGAGCTATGGACAGCCAAAACCAACCGCCGGACGATCCAACGACGGGCGGCGACCCGGTACCTGAACCCCCCAACTCGATCATACTTGAGCTTGTCGACACAGAGAAGGACTTCCCAAAACATCCAGCACATCTCGGAAAGATCCTCATGGAGAAGGGGTTCACCAGATTTAGCGAAATCAACAAGCTGGGTAAATTCAGATTCAAAATTGATACCCTAGCGGTACTAGACGTCAACCGGCTGAACCTAGAGAGGCACAACCTCAGGGTGTACGAGCCCAGAAGAAACAGCTCTACCATCGTATTCATCCGAGGAGTACCTCCGACATTCAAGGAAGAATAAATGGCGGAGCACGATCACCAAGGTAGAGAGGATAAAAAGAAGAGGCGCAAACGGGGAACTACAGGCAACATACAATATCAAAGTTACAGTGGAAGGAGGACAAGTGCCAAAGAGCGTCAAAATCTTCGGATGCAGTTTCAGAGCAGAGCTGTACATCTTCCCAGTTCGACAGTGCAAGAATTGCTGGAAATTTGGTCATGGGGCCAAATATTGTATGTCTCGCACACGCTGTGGGTCCTGTGGAGAGAGCCACGCAACAACGGACTGCAATAGAGTGGCAAAATGCCCGAACTGCAAACGAAACCACAAAGCAGGGGACCCACAATGCTGCTTGAGAGTCTGAAAGAAGAGTCCTTCCCAAGACTCGAAGATGGAGAACAGGAAGACCAGCGCAGCGAAGAACGAAGCAACACCCACCGAACAGGTTCCGGCCCTCCCAGGTCCAGAAGGATGAGCCGAGACGGACAAAACCCGGCTGAAACCTCGTCCCAACCTCGGATCACCCCATCCAGAGAACCCTGCCTAAGATGCCTGGCAAACCCGCATAAAGCAACGGAATTCGAGAAAGTAATCGCTTGGTAGAGACAAGAGTTCCTGGCGGTAACGCGAGCCAAACGGTGGCTAATAGGGCTGAGAAACCTACAACTCAAAATAGCCCAAAGGGTACAGCAAGTCGATTCGGAACTAGACAGGGACCACCTGCCAATAGAGATTGGCAGCGACCTACAGGAAATCATGGAAAGCAACATCCTCACAACAACAGATCACCTTAGAACCAACCAGAGCAACCACAGTGGAGTGTAAGAGGCTAAAAATTCTGCAACACAATGTCCAGAGCCTTCGCCCGACAGAAATCCGACAAGAACTCAGTCACTACCTTACGGAGAATTCCATCAAGGTGGCCCTGTTGCAGGAGATATGGCTAAAAAAAGAAGAACCGTTCAGACTCGCTCACTACAAACTAGAATCCACAAGGAGACATCAAGGATACGGCGGGGTTGGCATCCCGATACACGATAGACTCGACTACGAAAGATTGGATCTGGAAGACCTCCTCCCGGTCGAAGTGGTCGGAATCAAAATTATCAAAGGATTTGACCCTATTTCTCTAATCTCGGTCTACGTTCCCCCGGGACAAAGTGTTTCTAGCGAAACAAAAACAAAAATCCAGGAATTCTTCGAAGTCGCGCAACATATGAGAGGAGAAGTGCTGATCGGAGGGGACTTCAACGGCCACCATCATTCTTGGGATTTCTCATCGGCCAACTGTCCGAAGGGCAACCTCATCAACAGCATTTTGGGTTCGTCAAGATTCATTCTTCTGAACGATGGTTCCCCAACCTGCATGACTACGGTCCATAGGAATAGCTCAGCGATTGACCTTTCCATGACCACTAGTGGTCTAGCCATTAAATCTACCTCAAGAGTTTGGAAGCAATCATCTATCCATTCAGATCAATTCATCTACAATCCAGAGGAAATGCAATCGATCTTCGAGGAGAGCTGTGAAGAAGCCAGCTTCGTAGTCAGGGACAAAAAGGGCAACTACCTTAAGCGATGGTGGACAAAGGAGATCGAAGAGACCTACAAGACCAAGCGAGGCATATTAAGGGAATACAACAGGCTCAAAACGGCAACCAACTATATCAACCTCCAGAGAGCAAGGGCGATGCTGAAAAGGCTCATCCGGAAGGCAAAGAGAGCCTATTGCCGGGAACTCGCGGAGGCAGTGGATGAATCTGTTACGTATTTTGGGATCTCGGAAGTAGAGAAGACAACCACGAATACTTTTTAAAAACTTTTATTGTCTGGTTTAATAGTCGAACCGACTAAAATGAATAAAACGATTACCGACGAAAAGGCGATACTATCTTTTAGATTTAACATTGGATAACTGAACGGCAGTGTTGCCAGAATGAATATAATTCGATCGTAAATTATTTTACATACACAACATTTCTTCCCTCCTTTCGAACTGAAACGTCTACGGTGAGTATTTGCGGGGAGGGCGGCGTTCTCTTGTCGAACGACGCACTATGAAGGGAGAAGAATTTGCATCTTGATGAACTGGGCTACCAGATGGCGTATGAAACTCTGGAGTAACTGGTTCGCCAGGAGCACCTCGAAGATTCCTTGGATTCAGCGGAGTTGATGGTGCTCTCGGAACTGTAACACCATTATCGGAGAACTGAACAGTTACACGTCGTGGCACATCCTGCTGGCTTGACTTTTCTGCTTCGGGTGCTTCAACCATGAGATGACCGTTTGCACCGAGCCTCGAACGAATTTGATCGATGTGACGCTTGAACCGTTTTCCAGCGTAGTCGATTTCGTAGTGGAGATCTCCTAGTCGATCTGCAATTACACCAGGAATCCACTTATCCATACGGGAATTACCGGAAAGAAAATAGATAGGTTGACCCCAGCTGAATTCACGAAAAGTTCGGTCAAAATTGATTTGCTGCTTTGTCGTGACTCTCAGGTGAACATCTTCAGGCTTGAGGAGATCTAAACGCGTTCTGAGGTTTCGCCCAAGGAACAATTTGGACGGTGATTCTCCGGTGGTTGCATGTGGAGCTAAACGATACTTCTGTAAGAAAACGTTCAGGTTTGAATGCAACGTCGACGCTGTGGTTCCCATTGCCTTCAGTGCATCCTTCGTCGTCTGAACGTAACGTTCGGCCTGACCATTCGTTGCAGGGTGGTAGGGGGCCGACAACTTGTGGTACTTGACTCCACTTTTCTGCAGAAACTCCTTGAATTCCGCGGCCGTAAATTGCGGACCGTTGTCTGAAACAACAGTGACTGGCGCTCCATAACGGGAAAATAGCTCGTCCATAATCCCAATCGTTGCTGCTGTTGTTGCAAAGGCGGTGACCTTGACCTCCAACCATTTACTGTACGCATCGACTACAATCAGCAGCATTGAACCTGCCACTGGACCTGCATAATCAATGTGTATCCTCTCCCAGGGGCCTTTGGGATACTGCCAGTGATGTTCGCTGAATTTGGGTGGAGCGTGCGCTTGACGAGCACACTCACAGCAAGATTTCACCGTTCTTTCGATGTCCGCATCAATTCTTGGCCAGTAAACAAACGAACGTGCAAGTTCTTTCATTTTCACAATACCAATGTGTGCTACGTGAAGATCGTTTAACACTGACGTACGGAGAACGGACGGTACTACGGTAGCAAACTATTTGCAGCAAGTGAGTATTTTGCCTCCGGTGCTTTGTAGCCAGATCGTGACAGATCGGTGCCTGCTTCCAACAGTTGAACGATCTTACCAAGGCTAGGATCTTTGCGCGTTTCACGAGCGATGTGTTCAGCGCGAATTGGTAGTTGTGCGATTTGGTGAAGGGCAAACAGATTGAACTCGTCGTCACCAATATCTCTTCCCTCACAGAAAGATAGTTTGTTTACTTCGTTGGTAGCTGGTTGTCGTTGAATTCGAGAGCAGTAGTCTGCATTGACGTTCTCTTTCGTTGATTTGTACACGACATCGTAATTAAAGTGTGCCAAATAATCAGCATAATTGGCCATTCTGCTGATACACAGGATTGGAAGCGATTTCGTCGGGTGCAGAATTTGACTCAATGGCTTATTATCGGTGATCAGCGTGAATCTTCGAGCGTATAGGTAGTAGAAAAACTTCTTGACTGCCCATACGATGGCGAGAGCGTCCTTATTAATCTGCGGGTAACGTTGTTCCGTGGGAGACATTGAACAGCTAGCGTATGCTATCGGGCGTTCCAGTCCATTTCCCAGTCGGTATGAAAGAACAGCTCCCAAGCCGGTTTTGCTTGCGTCCGTGGCCAAAATCAAAGGACGTTCTGGATCGTATTGCATCAGCACCTGCGGCGAAATGAGGGCTGATTTGATGTCTTCGTATGCTATGACCCGCTCATGTTTCCACACAAAAGGTTCCCCTTGCAACATGTCGCGCAGACAGCGAGCTCGAGTGGAGATATTGGGAATGAAAGCGTTGTAGTATGTGGCTTTTCCCAAAAACAGCTGTAGCTCATCCGGATTTGACGGACGAGCTGCATTACGAATGGCTTCGATGTGTTGGTCCGATTTGTGCAACCCGTTAGCGTCAATTTTGTGGCCCAGGCATTCGAGAACCGGGGTGGCGAAAACACATTTTGTACGATTTAGACGTAAACCGTGATGCTTCATTCTTTCGAAAACTGCTGTGAGGGCAATCAGCCGGTTTTCGAAACAATCTGCAAATACTATAACATCGTCATAAAAATTAATGACATTGGACAAACCTTGAAGCACTGCTTCCATACGACGTTGCCAGATCGCAGGGATGTTGCCTGCACCGTAGACCGCTCTGGTCGGACGAACCAACCCATGTGTCGGTGTGTTGAGTTTGAGGATCTGTCGAAACTCTGCGTCGATTGGGAGGTGGGTGTAAGCATCCGTCACGTCCAAGTGACAGAACAGACTTGCTCCTCTCATTTGATGGAAGATGGATTCGATTTTAGGAATCGGGTGTTCGTCGATGATCATCCGGGGATTTACCGTAGGCTTATAATTTCCGGTGATACGTAGATTTCCATTCTTCTTCACTACGATGTGTGTGGGGGATGCCCATTCGGAGTAGTTGACTCTCTCGTACACACCTGCTGCAAGCTTCTTGTCGATTTCTTGTGCATACTGGCTCTTCAATGCCAGCGGCACGTCTCGAGCTTTAGCAAAAACTGGAACTGTACCTGGTTTCAGATGCACGGATGCAGAAGGTCCTATCAGCTTACCAGGAGTGTCGCTGAAAACGTCCTCGTAGTTTGCCAGCAGCTTCGATAGAGACTGGCGTTGATCCATCAGCAACGTAGAAGGGGTAGACACTAACGATTGCACCGCACCACTTTGGGCGAACAGCTCGTTCAGATTCACTTCTCTCATCAATTGTGCAATCCACTCTCTACCGCAAAGCGTATCATAGTCTCCAGACACGACATACAAATCAAGTTTACGAGTAGTCGTCCCGCTGCTAACGTTCACTGGAAGACGTCCTAAACACTGAATGCGGTGCCCAGTGTAACTGGAGAATTGTCGGTCTGTTGGCAACAGTGTGAAGGAGGATTTGATCGCTCGTAGTTTAGCTTCACTAATGATTCCGCACGGTGCTCCGGTATCCACTTCCATTTCTAGCTTGTGTCTTTCGATGGTTACGTTGATGACTCGCTTCCCTGACGTGGTGACGGAATGAATTTTGCCAAGTGACTGAACGAGGTCCACTTGCAAGGCTGGTTGTTCTTCCGATTGCACCTGGGAGGTTGATTGGTCCTGAGATTGCTGCCTTCCAGTTCTGCAGACTTTGGAAATGTGGCCCTTCTTCTCGCAGTTGTAGCACTTTGCATCACGGAATTTACAATGATTACGAGAATGTTTACCGCCAAATCCACTACACATACTCGGGCCGTGTGTTTGTTTATCACTCAACTTTTGTTTGTGCGGTTTTAATTGATATGACGAGGAGGAACTGCCAGAGTTTACTCTCCGTGTCTTCGGCCGTTCGTAGCCTAGCTTATTGGTTGCCTCTGGAATCAACGATGATCTTGCCGTTCTTACCTCCTTGGTCGTGTTGCGGGTGGCCTCGAGTGTGTGTGCAACTTCAAAAGCCGATTTGAACGTTTCTGGCTTCTTGGAGATAATCTCGTCACACATCTCGCGCGATTCAAGGCCGTGTAGGAGCTGCTCTATTAGCATCCTATCTAAAAATTCACCATACTCGCAATATGCAGCACCTTGCTTGAGCAGGAGAACAAAACTGGAAACTGATTCGCCTTTCTGCTGCACTATTTCCCGGAATTTGATGCTCTCAACGTACTTGTCCTTTGCCTGGTCAAAGTGGTCGACTAATGCCGTACGGAGCTCATCGTATGGGATCTCTGCCGGATCGTGGGAACTCACTAGGAACTTGATGGCGTTGTTCAGTTCCGTACCCATATGCACTCGAGCATAGTGTGCGTATTGAGCTGCAGGAATATTGCTCAATTACAGAGCCCACTCAAAGCGGTTGAAATAATCCGACACAGACGTGTTATCCGTGGAACGATACTATGATACTGAAAACGAGGGTGTTTGACGGTAGGCACTGTTGCTTCTCTAGCGGGGTTCACTTGTCCCAAAGTTTCAATGGTGGATTTCAGGGCATCGGCTAACATCCGCGTGAGAGATTCCATTAGCTCTGTAGTAGCCATTTTGCTTTTCGCGGGACCGAAACGTACGCGTCTTACTTTCGACCGGAAAAATTGCCTCTAAATCCCACTTCTGACACCAAAATGTTACGTATTTTGGGATCTCGGAAGTAGAGAAGACAACCACGAATACTTTTTAAAAACTTTTATTGTCTGGTTTAATAGTCGAACCGACTAAAATGAATAAAACGATTACCGACGAAAAGGCGATACTACCTTTTAGTTTTTACATTTGATAACTGAACGGCAGTGTTGCCAGAATGAATATAATTCGATCGTAAATTATTTTACATACACAACAGAATCCACCCCCCAAAACAGCTCTGGAACTTAATCAAGGGATTGGGCACAGCACTATCTCAACCTGTAGGACGAAAACCGGAAATCACCCTGGGCGTCGCCAAACAATTCATGGCACACTACTACGACCACAAGCTGAAGACAGTATACCAACCTATAGTGGAAACTGCCACAGAGCTAGGAGGCTACGAGATGGCACTGGCGATTGAAGAAACATTAGAAGCCCTTCGGAGAAAGAAACCCCATTCTGCCCCGGGAGAAGACGGCATGTGGCATATGGCATACTAAAAAACCTAAGACAAGACATGCAAATCAAGGTGTGCGAAATGCTGAGCGAAGTGTTCACCACCGAAAGAATCCCGGAAAGATGGAGAACGACGCTAATTAAACCCATTCCTAAACATAAAGGAGATCCTCTTAACCCGGCCTCCAGTCGCCCCATAGCTCTCATGAACGTCAACCTCAAACTCATTAACTCTGCTGTCAACAGTAGGCTGGCAGAAATCGCCGAAATAAAGAACCTGCATCCTCCTCAATCTTTCGGTTTTAGAAAGAACTGCTCCGCCCAGAGCTGCGTGAACTACGTCGTAAACAGGATCAAGGACGTGCAACAAGATAGAAAACATCCCATAGTTGTCTTTCTAGACATGTCCCAAGCCTTCGACTCGGTGAACCTGCGAAAGCTGCTGAATTCCCTACAAAACCTAGAAATCCCTAACAAGCTCATCTCCTGGCTGCACACCTACCTCAGCCACCGAAGATTGGTCCTCAAAACGAATGAAGGAGACGTCTACAGGGAAGTGAGTGAAGGACTCCCTCAAGGCTGTCCACTCTCGCCCATCCTATTCAACCTCTACACGAAGGAGCTCCACGATATCAACGAGAAAGATTGCGAACTCGTCCAGTTCGCTGACGACTTTGCGGTGATAGTTGTAGCAAGCAACCCTGACGAAGCTTCCGAGAAAGCCAACACCTACCTCTCCAAACTCAGGAACAATGTAGCCAAGTGCGCAGCAATTGCCTTCACAAGAAAAGGCACGAAGGGAGTGAGAGTAAAAATAGGTCAGGAAAATGTAAAGCTAAACAACACCCATCGATATCTGGGGTCTCTCGCACAGAAAACACATGGAGGATGTTCGAGAAAAAGCAGGGGCAAAACTGAGAATTATCAAAATGCTAGGAAAGAGAAACAGCAACGCCAATCCGAATACTCTAGTTAAGGTCGGAAATGCCATAATAAGAAGCAGATTGGAATATGGAGCTCACATTTATGGCAACGCGGCCAAATCCAACCTGAAAAAACTACAGACTGTTCAGAACTCCTACCTCCGGATAGCAATGCGTCTCCTCAAGACCACACCCATCCATGTCATTCACGCAGAAACTGGGCAGCTGCCACTGGATATTCGTAGGGACTGGCTCACCCTCAAGGAAATCCTGAAAAACACCTTCCATGGCAGGCAGCTTCAGCCGTTCATCGTGAAAGCAATCGAAGACACCCCGGGCAACGGATCGTTCCTCTCGGAAACGGCCGCAAAACACAACTATATCGTTTGCCAAATGCATCCTAAAGATCCCAACATGGCTTTCCAGGACAGAAGAAAGTACT